ATACATATAAATATACACATAAATAATATGGCAATATGACACACACACATATATATATATATATATATTCTACTGCAGGTTATGAAAATCACTGCTATTCCCTATTAAAAACATAATTATTCATAGGGATTCACAGTGCTGTGGCCAGGTTTTGTATGAGCATCTTCACTCTGGATGACTTTTAAAAGCCCTAACTGATATTTGTAGCTTAATAGGAATTTTTTGAGTGGGTTTTGCTGCTGCTGGACCCTTTCAGGCCTTCAGGAACTGTCCAAAAACTGTCCAGATGAGAGCCAATAATAGGATTTATTCCTCATGGGCTACCTTGGTGCTGCTTTTCCAGGAGGCTCAATTTCTCCAGGGTTTTCAGGGCTGGAAAATTTGGCAGCTTTAATCCCCTTCTCCCTGCTGAAACCGCTCTCTGCATGGGCATTGTGGCATTTTGAATGTTATTTTGAGAGGAGGGTGTAGCTCCTACTACTTCTAATTTTTGACTTTTTTGGAGCACAATTTCTGCTGGATAGAAACAAAGATAAAACTCCATTTTTGGCTTTAAATCCCTTTTTTCCCCAACCTATTCCCTGTGTGATATTTTGCTTTTTCTGACTGTGAACCCTTCAAGGAAAAGTCTTGGGGTTTGTTTTTTTTTTTTCTGTAGCCTGCTGATTTTGAGCCAGCGGAAATAATTTCTGCCTGAACAGTTTTTTGTGGATTTGTATCTGGATTTCCTCTCTTTCCCTCTGTCCAGGCCAAATGAGTGTGGAATTCTGCTGTCTCCTCCTCCCACTAAAATCAGATTTTGTACTTCATTGCTCTTCTGCCACAACTCTGGAAAGATTTGGGCTTTCTCTGTTTTCCTTCATCCCTGATTTCTGATCTTTCAGGCTTTTGAAGGAGGGAAAAAAAAGTGGAAACTTCTTATTTTGGTTTTATATATTATTTTATTCTGCAGCTGTGCTGACTTCAGGCAGCTGGGAGGAGCTGGAGGGTGTCTGGGAATGTCATTGGAGGTTTTGGGACAAAAAGCAGAGGGGAAACAGCAACACAGCAAATAAAGGTTGGGTTTTTAGGGAGAGCTGACCTCATTTCCTACTTATTGCTGTGTCAGAAAAGGGAATAAATTTAATATTTGGGGATGGCTGTGTGCTGTGGGCCACTCACATTCTGTTTTGCTATTCATATTTTGGAGTTTAATTTAAATTAATGTATGTTGGAGGTAGCTTTTGTAATTTTTTTGGATGTGTTTTTTGTAGTTTTTCTTTTTAAATTTAAAATTAAAATTTCTTTTTAAATTTAAATTTTCTTTTTAAATTTAAATGCAGCACTTTCTCTATTTTTCCAGTCTCAAGATTAATAATTCCTGACTAATGATGGACTCCACTTCCCAGCACCTTCCTGACTAATGATGGACTCCACTTCCCAGCACCTCAGCTAAATTGCATTTTAACTGGTTTTGTATCATTTTCTTCAGAAAGATGAAGATGGATCCATTTCCATTGTCTCTGGATACATTTATTTGTTGAAATTAAATTTGCTCTTTTTTTTTTTTGTAGGGCTAAAAATAGAGGGGGACAATCAGGATTTATAATCTCAGGCAAAGAATTGCAGAAAAACCATGACTTTATTAAGGAAAAAAAAAAGTTTAAAAGGTGATAAAATGAAAAAAAAGTTTAAAAGGTGATAAAATGCAACTGTCACTGAGATACTTGAAATAGGCAAGAAGGCAAATCAACTGAGCATGGAAAAACAAACCTTTACTTAAAATAAACTTAATTCTTAATTCTTTTTATTTCTCCTTCATGGTTGCACAGCTGGGATGGGCCAAGTGCTGCTTTCAGTGGGGACACAGGAACAGAGGTGCCACCAAAACCAGAAGTTCACCAAAAACTCGTTAATTCCAGTGAATTATTTGAGATGCCAAACCCCAGAGATACAAGAGGTGTAAAATCCTTTTACTGTGAAATGTGATGGTATTGAATATTTTTATTATCTTAAAGCAATCTAATGATATATAAATATAATATAAATTATCTGTAATATAGTCTATATAATATAAATATAATTATATAACTATTATATAATTATATAATTAATTGTCTAATAAAGCAATAAAAATTTCCTTTCTGGGTTGTGCTTCCCAATTACAGCTTAAATGGGTTTGGAATATTAAAATATATAATTTATTACTGTATAAGTATAGTGTATATAAACTAATATACAAATATATATACACTTTTATCATATGTATATATATTTATTTGTTATATTATTTAATATATATGTATGTAAGTATATAAATATAGTACATACATACAAATATATGCTAATAGAAATAAGAATACATATATACTTATATATATAAATACAGAATATATAAATAGATCCACATATATTTATATTTATATATATATTTTATATTTTATATAAATTTATATATTTACATATTTTTATATATACTTCATATACTTTTTATATACATTTATACTGCTATTCTTTTATATATATACACTTTCACACATATATATGGTTTAAATATATATACACATACTTTTATGTATATATTTTTATAGTTATATATTTCATATATATACTTTCACACATATATACTTAAAAATATATATAAGCATATATATACATACATTTATATATATTTATACTTACTTTTATATATGTACTTTCACAAACATTTAAATATATATACACACATGCATACTTTTATGTATATATTTTTAATATATATACATTTTTATCACTTAAAGATATATACATATATACACACAGTTTGATATATATACTTTTTTAGTTATATAATTTTATATATATTTACTTTTACACATATATATACTTAAAATATATATGTATATTTACACACATACTTTTACATATATATTTTACTTGTATATTTTTATATATGTACTTTCACACATATATATATGTATATACATATACATTTATATCTATACTTTTTAATAAATATATACTTTCATACTGAAATTCTTCTTCTAGCTATACACTTTTACACATATATAGTTTATATATATACACACATATATATACATTGATATATATATTTTTATAGTTATATAATTTTATATATATGTACTTTTACACATATACATATATATACAAATAATTTAATATATATATTTAAACTTCTATACTTTTGTATATGTACTTTCACATATGTATATAAATATATATAAAATATATATTTTAATATATATTTTTACAATTTAAATGTATATACGTATATACACACTTATATATATTCTTTTATATTTATATAATTATATATGCACATTGACACATATATATACTTTAAATATATATATATGTAAAAAAATATACATATATACACATATACTTTAAATATATATAAATATATGTAAATATATACATAAATGCACATACTTTTATATATATACTTTTATAGTTATGTAATTTTTATATATATTTATACTTATATACTTCTATATACGTACTTTCACACAGACATATATACACACGTACTTTTATATATAAATACATATATATACATACATATATATACACATACTTTTATATATACTTTTGAATATCTACGAATAAATTAATTATATATATACACACATATAATGTATATGTAAAATATATATAAAATATAAATTTATATATACTTATACATAAATATATATAAATATATATAAAGTATATTTATAATATATAATTATTTATATATATAATATACAAATATATATTTAGATATAAATTATATCTATATAGTATATATAATGATATAATTTATTATAATAACGTATATTGTATGTATATAAAATCTATAATTGTATATTTTATATATAAAATATATAAAAATACAAAATAGAAAATATATAAAATATTAAATATAAATTGAAAAAAGAAAATATAAAATATTTATTTATTTATTTATTTATTTATTTAATTAATTAATTAATTAATTATATAGAATGATGATCACCTGAGCATAATTACTCGGAAATTACCTCTGCTAACTGGGGAGGAGAAGCCGCATTTCCCGAAGTCCCAGCTGGGATCCAGCGTTTCCTGATTGAAGGGCTCAGTCCAGCCGCGCCTCCCACGAAACTGGGCGGGAAGGGGGGATCCCAAAGCTCGGGAAGGGCGGGAGGAGACTGCAATTCCCAGAGTCCTCGCGCATCCTGGCCCCGCGGTGACATCAGAATTCCATGGCCGGGACTGGCTGGGCAGCGACAGCGGCGAAATGTGAGCTCGGCGTTGTCCCTCGTCCCGTGGGGCCTTTCTGCAGCCCCGCTCCCTGCTCGGGCCGGGCCCCCCGCCCGCCGCTTCGGGAGGCCGTGAGGGAACCGGGGGAGGTGACACCGCGGGGAGGGCAGCCCGGCAGCTCCCGTGAGGGCTCGGGGATGGGGAGGGCAGCCCGGCTGCTCCCGTGTGGGCTCAGGCTCGGGGATGGGCAGCCCGG